GGGAAGCTGAAAGGTAGGGCCCGGTCGCCAGGTGGTCGCTCGCACGCCCCCCCCCCCTCCAACCCATTGATAAGCCAGGCTTTGCGCGGCTCTGAGCGGCACAAACGCGCTGCGTGCGCTAGCGTTAGCTAACGTTAGCTAATGCGGCCCAGCCCAGACCCGCGGCGGGAGATTAGATCACCTGTCGCGTCAAGAACGAAAAAAACAGATGAAAGAGAGCCAAAGAGAAAGACGCGGTGAGCGGCAGGGTGAGAGAGAGAGGGAGAGACAAAGCTGTGAGGGCGCGAGTGAGTGAGGCTAGCCCAGAGGAGGAGGAAGTGGGCGCCTCAGCCCGTCAGGCGGCGACGTCCGATGGGCTGCCAACCTCTACGGCGTCGGCAAACGAGCGCAATGTGACGGACAGTGGGGGGCCGCGCGGGGCGGGGCGGGGCGTGGCTGGGGTGGAGATGAGATACCGCGGCTGACGATGGCCGACATATGGCCGCGCGCCCCGCACAAAAATATAATCCATCCCCCTGCCCTTGTTTGCGCTGCACTCCACCAAGGGTGGCGTCAGGGAGATAGAGGCCGAGCGAGGGGAGAGAGGCCTGGGACTGGCAGGTACTGCGTGGCAACAGTAACACCCTGCTTTGCTCGACCGAAAAGTGGCAAGACGTAATTTTCCAATCAACAACAGAATATAACTCTGGTGTAGAAAAGAGTACGCGAAACAAAACAGCCACTAAGGGACAGCGGGTGCAGCAATAAAATTGGCGTAGTTGGCTGTAAGTCACCGGTAAGTCATGCGGTCAAATCGGAAGGTGCGCTTCCCGTCTGTCGTGTTGCCGTCACTTCTTCCCCGGCGCCTCTCTGTCTCTCTCGTACCCACACTCGCTCCCCGTTCTCCGGCGAGTGTGATGAAAGCTGCTCCCGCTCGCGGACGGGCTTTAGAACGGCCACCACCACCTAACGCAGATTAAGGCTCGAGAGCAAAGCAGCGCGGATACCCCGCGAGGGAGAAAACTATTTGAAATGTCTCGAGTGCGCCGGGCGCAGCAGCGCGCCAGGACTCGCAAGCACCTGTTTGGACACCGCCGCCAGCTGCGCGTCCAAAATGTATTTATACACGTTTCGCACAAAAACGTTGCGCGCGGACCTGTCGAGCAAGCAGGCGGTTGGGCTAAAGTGGGCCCTATCAGCAGCAGCAGCAGCAGGCGGCGCGAGCGTCCTCGGCGTCCTCACGACCAGTTGGACGAGGACGGAGAGCCGCCGCAGGTGAGCGGACCCTGGCGGCGAGCGGTCGCAGGTGCATTAGCATGCCGTCGGCCGGGCCCCGGGGACCCCGCGGGGCGGGACTCTTCCACTCCCTCCCCCGCCGCTGCCGCGCCGCAGTACGCGCGTCATCGCGGCGCGGGCGCGCGCGAGCAGCCTCGCGAGCAGCGCGCGCTTTTTGCGCCGTTTCCCGCTCCCGCCTCCGCCGCGCCGCGCGCCCGCCTTCCCCGCTCTTTTCATATTCGTCATTAATCAATCCCCGATCACTCGCCCCTCCCCGCGCCGCACCGCCCCGCCCCGCACGGCTCCCCCGGACCGGTCGGCAAGTCCGGCGCGAGCTGCGCCGCCCCGCGAAGCTATTCCAGGGAGGCTTTCGCCAATAAACAAAAGCCACCCAGGCCAAGCAGCAGCAGCAGCAGCGGGTCTGCTGCCAAGCGGCCCCGGCCGGCGTCTGCGGGTCCGCGCGACTGACGCGGGGGGTGTGCGTATAAAAGGACCCTTCTAGTGGACGCGACGCGATGCGACGCACGACGACGAGTTGTTGGGGTCGTCGTGGACGGACTGCGACGACGCTAGCGGGGCGCCGGGCCTCGCTCTCCTTTATTTTGTATACAGTTTGAATCGCTTCTAGGCAGCGGCAAGCGCATGCCCCGCGCGCGCTCGCCCCCGGGCATAGTAGTTATGTAACGACACTTCTGTAGTTGTTAAGTTTGAGTTGGCGTCCGCGAGAAACGCAAGCACGCGGCAGCGTACCTTGTGCGTGGGCATCCTCCTCATCCTCCTCCTCCTCATCGTCATCGCGCCCTCCCCACCGCGGACATGGCTTCCTCCACTTTCTCTGTTAATTGTCCAAACCGCCGTATGGACGATGGCGGCGACATACAGCGGACAGAAGCAACGAGGCTGGGGGCAGCCAGCCTACTCGGGCATTATATGCGCCATGCATCGGCGTAGCGGCTAACCATTGAATTTGAATGGGACGCCATGATATTTTTACCCGGTTACAATTATCATGATCATGACCCCATGATACTTTTACCCGGTTACAAAAAACGTGACCCCACGATATTTTTACCCGGTTACAAATATCATGACCCCATGATATTTTTACCCGGTTACAAATATCATGACCCCATGATATTTTTACCCGGTTACATATATCATGACCCCATGCTATTTTTACCCGTAGTAAAAAATCATGGGGGATTCTTTTAAACTCCAACGGTGATCCTGAACCTTATGGAGGCGATAATATTCGTAACCTTCCTAAAGTGCGCGTAGAATCGAAACGGTCCCTTGTGTGAGGGATGTATCAGCAAGCACCCGGTTGGCCCCGAGCCCTCCATATCACCCCCTCGGCGGCACTCGCTCGCGATCTCCCCCCCTCCCAGTGCCTACGCCACCGTCGCGCTCGCCACTCTGCGAAGCAATTTGCGAATGGGCGCGTCCGTGTGGCAGTCTCGATCCAGTGGCACCCGCCCATGGTTGGTAGTATACACGGCCGCAGCGGCTGCACGCCCAAATGTGGTGGTTTGTCTTGATGGGCGTGGCGGGGCGTGGTGGGGTGTGGTGGGGCGAGGCGGGGCGGGGCGGCTGATGCTGGGCCCGCTCGGGGGTGCGGAAGCAGGAAGCCAGCCCCCGAAGCGCGTCTTGAGCTGGAACTGGAGCCAAGTGCCGGGGCGGTCGGACCGGACTGGAGGAAGGCGACAACTACGTACTGCAGCGGCAGCAGCGGGGAGGAAAAACAACGCAACTGCTATGCAGAGCTGGCAGAGCACCACCGCCGGCCCAGCGTGCGCGTGGGGCGGCGTGGGGCGCTGCTGGCGCGGCGCGTGCAGCGTCCTGGACGTTCGGCGTCGTCGTCTGGACGGGCGGGTGGAGTGGCTTGGCGAGGGCGAGGTCTGCATCGACATCGTCGTCGATCTCTCGCGCACATATAGCTGATATAGCCCTCTGGCCGCAGTAGGAGGACGAGGAAGACGAGGAGGCGAGCGGGCACACATTGCAAAACATTATCGGGCGACGCACCACGCGCCCCAGGAAGGAGGAAGAACGGAAACGGAAGAGCGAGCAGGAAAACTGGCGCGACGGCATTTCGGCGTGGACGGCACTAAATCCCTCAGGTCGGGAGGGTCGAGTTTAGATTGCGGCGCGATCATACGGTCGCAATGGAAAACTTGAGGGGGAAACCGCGAGGGAAGAAAGAGACATTTCTCTAGATGGAGGAGCAGCGTGTGAGCCGGACGGGTTCGCAGGGGCGTAACTCGTGGACGATAAGTCGATGATGAATCTGGCCGATGCAGCGGCGGGGCCGGCAGGGCTAATGAGGCATTGAGCGGCCCACCCCGCCCCGCCCCACCCCACCCCGCCGTGTTAACAGCTTTGGCTCGTACCTACAAGCCGTTCCGCGGTGCTGCGTTCGCTCTCGTCGATGATACGCCATACACGCTCCATCGCGTTGATGCAACGTTAAGCGATGTTGTCGGATGTCGTTTCCTTTTCATACATACCATTCTGCGAGTTTTCATTTAATTTGTTTGGTTAAGACTTACGTGAGCCGCCGTCGTCAGTCCCTCGACGGCCTGCCTGCTGCCGCCGCTACTGCCACCACCGGCTGCCCCGGCGTCGTCTGCTGCTGCTGCGGCCGCCGCCGCGGCGTCTGCAACAACAATAACAACATCATCAGCAACAGTGAAGAGAAAGAGAGATGCGGCGGCCGCGCCATTCAAGGCTCAGCAGAGCCGCGCGCCGCGTGGCCGCGGGGTTACGGACGGACATAACCTAGCCTAACCGCTCGTAACGGCGGGGCATGCCAAGTAGGGGCGCGGCCCGCCCGCCCGCCCGGCAGCACCCACTGACCAGCGCCGACCAGGTCCCCTCGAAAAGTGACCGCAACAAAGTGGTCGCTTCCTCTTTGGGGGGCCCGTACGAAAATTAGCACGTCATTCTGAGAAGATGTTTTTGTTTGTGCGGATGTTTAATGTGAGACTAACAGTATGCCTAAGTAATGTAAGGCGTCAGCAGCTTTTACTCTCGGTACTTTTGTGATTGGTTTTGCACGAGCGTGAGGGCTTTGGGGAGCATGTTAGAAATGTATACTACATTATGGGGAAAAAAAGGTTTCTCGCTGCCCACGGACCCCGAAACACTTTTGGTTCAAGTCAAAGCGTTGTGACTAATGAGGGTCCCGTGAAGCGAATTGTAGCCCCTATGAAAATTATACAATTTGTGTACGACGCACGCGGTCGGGATGATGTCACAGCGGTGATGCATTACGAACTGATGGAGGGGCCACCCGCGACGGAGAGACACAGGGAGAGACATCAACCACGCGTCGCCATCGCCAAGGGCCGAGAAAGGAGTGGTGGCGGCGGCGGCGGCGGCGGCGGCGGCGGCGGCGGCGGCGGCCGGACACACGCCGATAGGCGAGGCTGATAGTGTGAAGGGATGCGGGTTCACGTGGGCTTTTATTTCCATAAAGGGGGTTTGCTCCTCTCCATCGCCTTCCTCGTGTCGAAAACCCGGTAAAACCGCATGTTGAATGATCGTGTCCTTTTCATCATATGAGACTTTAAAGCAGGTCATCGTATTGAGAGATGCAGAGAATTTCACCCGAGGGGGCAATAACTCCGGGAATCATGTGTACACCTGCCAGGGAATCATCAGTATAAAAATTATTCGAAATCAACAGAAATCGATTAAACCAAAGTCGAAATAAACGTTTTCTACCACTAGATAACCCAAGGAATGAATATAAGCTGTCGGGAATCAATGGGAATCAAGTATTTCGGAAATCATGTGTACACATCAGAAGGGAGTTATTGCCCCCTCGATGTCACCTGAAGGACAAAACTACACGACACTTGAGACAAAAAAAAACGAGCCGACGCATCTATACTTGAGCCCCTTCCGCCCGCGGCCTGCAAGTGGAGGCAGAGACGTTTTCTGACACCTGCATCAGGTGCAGCGAGGCGCGCACACACAAACACACACACGTGTGGTGCGGAGGTGTCCCCTCTCTGTCCGAAGTGCTACGCCGCGAGGAGAAAGTGGCGTGCTCTGCTATCACGGCGCCGTGCCGTTTGATCGGGCCGCGAGCACCGGCTGTGCTGTGGGGCCCCGTCCCGTCCCACCCCGCCCCGCGCCCCGCCACCTCCACGACTCCATTTCCGCGGCGGGGGACGCCATGCGTGTGTGCACGCCACCACTCACCACCCAGAGCACAGTGCAGCCACATGTCAAACGTGTCACGGAGCGGTGCGGGGGAGGGAGGGAAGGGGGGAGGATGTAATGTGGCTTTTAAGGAAACGTTTCCGAGTGCCCCGGCGTATGCTGCTCTCCTCGACCGGCCGGTCTGTCTGGCAAACCGCGTGGTCAAGTTGAGGTGCCCGCTTAAAGGTGGGGTTGGGTTGGGGGTAGGCAGGAGGACGAGGAGGAGGAGGAGGAGGTACTAAAATGTACGTTTTCCACTCGGCTGGGCAGGCGTGGTGGGCATGCGCAACACAACTTGCTAAAAACTACGATACCTCACTTGACCAACAAAACTGGATCGAAAACTGGGCATAATGAACTCCCCCACCCCCCCACCCCCACCCCATGAACCTCAACGTTAAGGTGTCTTAACGGTGATAAGACGCCTGAACGTGTTAAGGTTTCTTAACCTTTTAAGGTGCCTTAAAGTGTTAAGGCACCTTAAAGTGTTGAGGTGCCTTAAAGTGTTGAGGTGCCTTAAAGTGTTAAGGTGCCTTAACGTGCCAGCTGACTCGAGCCGTGTTTTCTTTTCTTGTACCTCAATCACAGAGTGCAGGGTGAGCAGGTGGGGCACCCATGCGGCGGGAGCGCAGGCCGCGCGCGCCCAGTTCAGGCCCCGGAGCCCGTCATTATGAAGCTGCAGCATGATCCGGCAATGACCGTCCGCGGGCGCAGCCGCCTTCAAGTCCATTCACCGGTAGGCCGCCGCGGGCGGCCAGCAGCAACATGGCGCAGCCCAGCCTTTTGCTTTCCTCTGACTGCGGTCACACCGGGTGCAGCCTCGTGGCAGCTCCTACGGCTAGTCTCCTCTGGCAGTCTCATGTCAGCCTCATGGCAGAAGTCTCGTGTCAGTCCCATATAGCAGTCACATCTGGCAGCATCCCGTGGAAGTCTTCAAAGTCTCATGGCATCCCGTAGAAGTCTCCTGGTGGTAGTCTCATGGCAGCCTCACTGTTGCCCCATGGCAGTCTCACATGGCAGGCTACCCGTGGAAGTCTCACGGCAGTCTCACTGCAGCCTCATGACAGCCCCAGCCACCTCGTTATCCACCCGCAAACGTAATTGCGCCCATGGCATCATAGGAGCTGGCATTATCCCGCCGCGGCAAGAGCGGAAGCTGCTGGAAGACTTCTTTCTTTTTCACCCGCGTCTTCATTTTCATTTATTTTTTTGCAATGGCTCGCTGGCGCGCGCCAAAGTGCGGCCGGTCGCAAACGGCGCGCGCGCGAAAACAGATCAGCCCGGCGTCGCGTCTAGTCGGTCGGTTCGGCCAATGGAGCTGTCACACGGCTGGCGCGAGGTCCGGCTATGGGCGTCCCATTGGGGCGCCGAGAAAATATGTAGTGCCTTCTACACATATGAAGTCGTCTCGTCGGTTCGGTTAATTCGTTTTCTTGCTTGCGGTTGGAGACGATGGAAAACAACTTCCTGCTGCTGCAGCTATAGCAAGGCGGCGGCGGCCGGGGCGCGAGCCACGCGCGCGAGCAGCGCCTCTCGGAAATAAAGATTACAAGGCGGACAGCCGCGAGGGCCAAAAAGCGAAACCGAGCGAAGGGGGGGGGGGGGGGGGGGATCTCTAGGAACAAGGATTAGGCGCGCGATTGGCACGTTATTGCAGGCGATATCCCCCTCCACCCTCCCTCCCTCCCTCCGGGCGCGGCGCGCGGCGGGGTGGACAGAATGGGGCAGGGGGGCGATGGGCCCGCGGTGTATACGGCAATCAGCTGGCGGATAGAGGGATACGACACGTGCACGCCGAGCCATCTGTCGATACTCCACGCTGCAGGGGCTCTATGGGGGCGCTCGCCCCCCCCCCTCTCTCTCTCTCCATCTCCCTCCCTCCTTCCCTCCCTCCCTCCCTCGCTCTCTCACACACGGCGACACCTGGTTGGTATTTTGTGTTCTCTTAGTATGCAGCAGGGTCGTCACCACCGCCATACCCCGCGGTGTCGAGCCCGGACAAACACACACACGAGTGTTGAGGTGAGTGTGTGGGTGTGCGCAGGTGGCGCACACGCCGAGAGCAGCACACCGTCTCTATATGTGATGTGATATTTGCCGGTGTGATTATGGGCGCCCTTTTCAAAAAGACCCTCTCGTCGCATGACGGCCGTGCGGCGACACCCTCCCCTCTTCTAACGGCCCGCGACCAATCGGACCCGACCCGACTCGACTCTGGACGTGTGCAATTCCGGCGCGCGCGCGGGAGAGAAATCGAATCGACCCGCGCGACAGACACTCCGTAATGTATACATGAGGTTTGACGGCGACGCCCAGCAGCATGAGGCCCGCCGAAGGGGGAGGAAAGGGAAGCCCCCGAGTCGTCTTCACTATCAATTGAAGCGAACACTGATTTCACTTCGTCTTTTCCTTGATTTTTTCTGATACTTTATTCCGATTTTGTTTTTGTTAAGTTTTCTGATTTTTTAAAAATTATTTTTCAACTTTGTTTTTATTTTTATGCATAGGGTGAGGGTAAACACTGTTTTTTTTTTGTTTTGTTTTGTTTTGTATAGTGAAGTATACCCCTTCGGACGTACCGCTCCTCCCCTTCCTGCTCGTTGCACACTTGTCGGTGGAGTCGCGGTCGTGCCGCGGAGCTGACACCTCGCGCGCCGCACCCACGCCGACGCGGCCGGGGGCGCCTCTCCAGCCCATTAGCCCCGCCCCGCCCCACCCCGCCACGCCACGCCTTCCAGAGACCCATCACAAACACGACGCGCGGATCAGAGAGATCCCCCACGTTTGCGAGTCATTAGCTGCCGGCCGTGCGGACCGGACAGCACCTCCCGCCCGCACCTCTCTCGCTGATGCTGCGTCTTCTTCCGCTGCCCCGGAGGCATCACGATATTACGGGCCGTTACGAAACAACGCGCGACGCAAAACCGCAAAAATAAAAATAAATGCGATCCGAGGGGCGGAGCAAAAAAAGCGATTTCCTAGGGCCTCCTCGGCCACCACCACGGCGCGTGGCGTGGCGCCTGCGTCCACCCGCCCGCCAGCCCGCCCGAAGGGAACACGAAAGCGATATCAGCCGACCGGGAGGGAGCTGCAGCTGCTCTACTCGAAGTGTTACCGACCGGCGTATTTCGGAAATCTCTCTTAATTGCGGTCCCGTCGAAGAGGAAGGATCCCTCTCTAACCTCTCCTCTCAGTTCTCTCTCTTTCTCTCTCTCTCTCGCGATCGCGCGCGCCGGGCCGCGCCGCTGCCGGAGGGGGGCCCCATCTCGGCCGCGTGCTCTTGCTTCTGCTCCCACAGCCAGATGAGCCCCCCC